TATTATTATTATTATTATCATCATCATCATCAACATCATACAATCATCGCTGTTGTTGTTGCTATTGATATCATTATGGAATTGCTTGTCTTGATGCTCTACTCATATACCATTACCATTGCTGTGGGTGTTGGTCGCTGTCAATATTTATTGTTATATAAAAACCATTGTTATATTGTAATACACTGGGGCCTGTCATAGGCGAGCTGCCATAGTCCAGGAGAGAGTGAGTGGTCGTTGACCGGTATTGTGGACCTGTGACTTTCTCTACGGTAACAGAACGGAACAAAACAGAACTAACAGGTGCCACAGTCCACTCTATAAACTACAAAAACAGACTTATGGGGATTTCTATTGTATGAGGGATAGATAGATAGATAGATAGATAGATAGATAGACGTGGATTCATTTCTTTCCCATCTGTAGTTTCTGTCTCTCTACCGCCTCTCTCTCCTGTAAACAAATTCTACATGGCGTAAATGTGCCCCTTGTTATTCAAACAATCAAAACAAAGAAAAAAACAAAACAAAAACCCCCACAAAACCAAACAAAACAAACACCCCTCCCGACCACGAAGTTTGACAACATAAGCGTCTCCAAAACTGTTGTAGCTTAGGCTGTACGCACATTGGTCGAATCGACTTGGTCTGTAGTATCGGATCGAATCGGACGGGATCGGATGGGGAAATTGCGTTGTGCAGTACACACTTTATCAAACAGACGTCAACCGTTACCTTTTTTTTAACCAATACGTTCTGATAGCGATACCTGTATGCCAATAGCCGGCACGAGACAGAGGCGACATTGATCACGTTCATAGCTACGTGCCTTTGTTTGGCACAGCGGACCCGGCTACCTCTTTTGTTTTGGCCACTGTTTTACGGCGCTCGCAACTGCAGGAGGTCACATGAGCGCGCGGGACACTTTAAACATTTTTAGTTAGTTAGGAATTCATTGTGAATTATTCCCGGGTGGCGGCAGAAGCCTACTCTTTTCGACTTTAGGCCACTAAAGGATCTTTAACGTGTGCAACCTGCACACCAGACCTACGAGTTGTTTTTTTCGGCCTTAATCTGAAAAGGTTAGGTGTACGATTTACACACATACACACACACACACACACACAAACACACACACACACACACACACACACACACATACCCACACACAAACACACACACACATACA